GGTAGGATGCCTTAGATATCTCTTGCAGACAAGACCCGATATGACATATGCGGTTGGAGTTGTTAGTCGATACATGCAAGATCCAAAAGAATCACATGGTGTTGCAATCAAACACATCCTAAGGTATTTACGAGGAACAACGGGATACGGAATCAAGTACGAGAGGATGGGACAAAATCGTATAATTGGTTACAGTGATAGTAGTCATAATGTTGATCCAGATGACGGAAGAAGCACAACCGGTCATATTTTCTACTATGGGTTGTCTCCAATAACATGGTGTTCTCAAAAGCAAGATACTGTTGCTTTATCATCTTGCGAGGCGGAGTTCATGGCTGCAACTGCGGCTGCATGTCAAGCAATATGGCTTCAAGATTTGCTAGGCGAAATCATGAACAAAGCACAAGAGAAGGTGGTCCTAAGAGTTGATAACAAGTCAGCTATCGAACTCACGAAGAATCCTGTTTTTCACGGAAGAAGCAAACACATTCACACGAGGTTTCACTTCATTCGTAAGTGTGTTGAAAAGGAACAAGTGGAGGTGAAGTACATTCCAGGTGAAGAACAAAAGGCAGACATTCTCACAAAACCATTGGCTCGAACCAAGTTCAAGACAATGCGGGACTTGATCGGGATTGAAGACATCTTTAGAAGGACTTAAAGATTGGCGGTGATAGGGAATCTCTAGAAGGACTTAGAGATTCGGGGGTGATTGTTGGAATCTTAAGTCATCATCTCCCTCCACCCATGTCTTCCACTCCTAAAAGGCTAACACAATTTCTGGAACAAAGTAAGGGACACCAACAAGTGGTTGGGTCTCATGTGTATTAATTATAGGATTAAAATGATTCTATCAATCCTATATATTCAGTGTATTACCAAGAGGGAGAGACACACCAAAACACAGCAACATACATAGACATATACACATATATATATGTAATTGGTTTTTAAGTTATATTTCCAATCAATCAAAGAGTTATTTTGATATATATATTTGTCTGTGTCTTTACAATTGCAATATTAGAAAACCGAAATCAAAAATTGAATTGGCCTATGTCGCATCAAGGTTAGGAGATTTTGGATGGATGAACTTTCACCATCCAAACATCTTAATTTCTAGATTTTCGTATATGATGTGCAACATTTGGCAGGTAATATTAGAATAAAATGATATATTTTGATATATATTTAAAAACTAAGATACAACTACCTCTAAAAACAGTATATCAAAGAACGTTATGTACATGTTAAGTATTTATTTAGCTTCTGGCTTCTGACTTGTTGATAAATTTGAAAAAAAAAAAAATCAAATTTATATCAAAGAACGTTATTTAGGTCTTCTTGTGGGTTCGACACGGATTGGAAGCCAATCTTGGATCGATGTGAAACATGTCTTTCAGCTTGGAAAATTAAACTTTATTGGTGGTCATCAGATGCTTTTAAAGTAAGTTATTGGGTTGCTTGGTATTTTTTATGTCTATTTTTAAGATGCCAAAACAAGTTAATATGTTGAGGGCTCGGTTTTTTGTGATAAAGCAAGACCAAAGAAAGATTTAGTGGGTCAAGTGGGACTTGGTGTTAGCTTCTGATCAGAAAGGTGGTCTTTACATAGGTAGTCTTTTAGTCTTCAAGGTTTTAATTTGGCTTTCTTGCAAAAGTGGCGATGCCATTTTGTGCAGGAAAGGAATGCGCTTTGGGTGAGGCTTATTCGTTCAATATATTGGCACCTAGGTGGGTTTCAGTTTGCTTCTCCTAACTAGATTTTATTCAGTTTCATCATTTCCCATTATATTCTGATTTCTATTTGTATGCATGCACATAAATAAATAATGATACGTAAAAACAAAAGAAATTAACAAGAAAGAAATAAAATTGGAAAAATATGGCATAAAGAACATCAATGAGCATAGTTCAATGAGACTAAACTTAAAAAAAGTTAAGCAAAAAGCATCTGATTCCCGTTCTAAAAAATAGCAAGAGACTTTGCAAGAAGCAAAACTTGTTAATACTTCAAAGCCTTACCATCATCACTTCTTCTGCTACAAAACAGTTCGATTTTTTAATATTTTAATTTACACACAAACTTTAATAAAAAAATATTTATTAATGCTATTGCTAAATTCTAACTAACCTCTGGTTCAGCTGATTTAGCTTCTTCACCTTTCGGATTCTCCTCTCCTGTAAAAAAAATATGTCAACTCTTTTATCCATAATATTTATAAAACACTAATAAAATAAAACACAGCATTTCCCTTTTTGACATAACTTCAATCCAAGATTACCTTTTTTTATTATCATTACTATGTGTTTGTTGATGCATACACTTAAGAGTTGTTCCTTTTTTTTTCTTTTCCATTAAGTCATGTATATGCAAAGTGTCTGAATGGGTAATGATGTCTGTCTAAAAGACCATTTTACCCTTACATTCCAAATACAATTTTAACAGGAGTTTGGAAGGGGAAAAAGGTAGTGTCTTATCCCCTTAGACCCATGAGGTTACACATTGTAGAAGGGTAATTTGGATATCTCACTAATATTAAAACATTTCCATTGAACTAAGTATAGATACTTCATTGCCTTTTAGGGTATAAAGCATATTAGAAGGGTATGGAATACCTCCATCCTCAGGCAAATCAGAAGTCCAGAGAGTGAGATTATCTCTCAAAAGCTGCATGATCAAGGTGCTGTCTTTGTATGATTCCTCACTCAAAGTGTCCAACTCAGAAATCGCCTCATCAAAAGCTTGTTTAGCCAATTGGCATGCCCTGTAATTTCATAATATAAAACACTTTAATTTCATACACCATATGCAAATTTCAAATAAAGTGAAGAAAAAAAACATTTGATTTTACTTTTCAGGAGAATTCATAATTTCATAGTAGAACACTGAGAAATTGAGAGCCAGGCCAAGACGAATTGGGTGGGTTGAAGGGAGCTCTTTATTTGCAGACTCGGAAGCAGCCTAAAATGGAAAATTAATAACCAAAAACGTTTGCATAAAGAAAAAAAGAAATTATTGCGATAATAAATACAAAAATACATGCCTCATAGCCCTTCAATGATTGGTCTGCAGCTTCCTTTCTTTCTTCATCTGTCTTAAACTCAGCAAGGTAACGGAAGTAGTCACCTTTCCTGTATTGGTATGAATCAAAACACAATAAAAATGAGATTTTTTTTTCAAGAAAGAAAGAATAGTAACAAACATGACTCACATTTTGTAGTAAAAAACAGTAGCTTCTCCTGAGCCTGAAGATGGTACAAGATGTTTGTCAATGATAGCAAGAATGTCACTGCAAATCTTGGCAAGTTCATCTTCAACCTTTTTGCGATAACCTTTGATCAGATTGACATAGCTCTCGTTTCCTTTTGATTCCTCTTTCTGTTCAATTGAAGACATGATACGCCATGAGGCTCTCCTTGCTCCAATCACATTCTTGTATCCTACTGAAAGAAGGTTGCGCTCTTCCACAGTGAGTTCAACATCAAGTTTGGCTACATTCTTCATACTTTCAACCATTTCTGCAATTTCAAGTGAGAATTATGACAAGGATAACTTTAGCATTTAAGCAATTGTGAGATCAGGCATGATCCACGTACAATTGAGACTAAATATACATTAGCCACCCCTACTTACGAGTTTTATTGACAACAAACCAATAAATTTAATAGAACAGAAATCTAAAATTTCCTCTCAACTGTAAGCTACAGCATTGTTTTGTTATTTTGCCACCATGTAAATTCGAAAAATCAGATGAACATAAAATCCACCGTCGTGACGTGGAATAACTACATACAGAAAACCACAATTTTAGCGATGAACAAGGCACGTACTAACGTGAGCGAAAATTACATTGTAAGTTATAAGATTCTTCCAATTTGTGACAAAAAATCGTGTAAATAATCAAAACAAATAGATCATACATGCATCCATTTATTTTACGCCAGATTCACGATTAAATTCAATTATACACTCCAATGAGAACAGAGACATGAATCAAAACGAAATTTAGAACCGATCTAACAACAGAGGAATATCACGCAAATGTACAATGTTGAAACGCAAAAACAGATACAAAATCAAGAGATGAAGGTGATACCATCGTAACGCTCGGCTTGTTCAGCGAGCTTAGCCAAATAAACATGATTTTCTCTCTCCTTTTCGTTCGACATCGTCCTGATTGATTGATTCACCAAATAGAACCGATCGATTGAGTTTGAATGACGAGAAAAATTCCTTTGCGATCACCGGGGAAGCCCAGAAAGGGGAGAGAAATGGAAGGGGGCGGGATTATAAAGGGTGATTAAAAATCGGGCAAGTTAGGGAGAACGTAAGACTGAATCTCAACCGTTGGATTGAGTTTGAAAAATGGGATACAATCGCGCGCACTTCGTATTTATTTTTGGGTTTTGGATTCTATTGAATCCGCCCGAGACCCGTATCTTCTATGTTTGTACTTTATATAATACAATCTACAAGATTGTGTATGTTTGATGATTTTAAATATATTTTGAATGATGATTCTCAATCTTTTGAGAACCTACTTTTTATTAAAAAAATTAATTTTAATCTAATGATTTTTATAGATAATATATAACCAAAACCAACCCGTTTTATTTATAAATGGTACAAAATTAGTACATTTAATTTTATAGACAGGACATGAAACTGCCAATTAGGGATAGCTTTTAGCATGATCATTTAAAGGACGCAAGTAAGATTACTCCTTCCAAGTAGTTAAGATGTTTCTCAGTAGGAATAAAATTGAGTCAAAAGCCTATTATATACTCGATTTACATGTCAATAAAATGTGATTTTTGGATCTAGCAGCATAAGCAGCCATATATATTAAAAAACAAAAATTCAACATTGTAAAGTTGTAATCTATTTCACACATTAGGTGAGCGGGGGCACCTATTTTCACAAGATAAAATGTTGGATATGGTAATGTAGTTTCAATTACAAAGTGGAACGAAAAAAAAAAAAAAAAAAGATTACAGAAACGTAAAAGAAAAAACGTGGTAACAAAACTTTCTCTAATCTACATCTTACAATTCGTGTTTCCTTATATCTCAATCTTCCTTTCCTTTTTCATCGACTAATACAACCCAATTACAACTGACAAATTTCTTGCATCATCTATGTATATAGGGATTTATAAAACCTTCACTTGTGAAAAAAAGACTCAACTCATTTTCTTACAAATGGCTTTTGACAAACAAGTAGCCTTTGTTCACTACCATTTTCAAGATCAATTACCCTTGCTTCCCATCGTATTTGTGTAGCAATCATTCGTGCATCCTCTATAGGCCCCACCTTATCCGAAAGTACAACCCAACCCTATAATAAAAACATCAAAATCATTTGAGCCTTCTTACAGAGTAAGTATTTCAGATATTTGACTAATAATCAAACAGAAAGTACCTCAGGTCGTAAAATACGATCAATCTCCAAAAGTAGAGTTTTCAAGCTACACCCCTCTAAAATTATATTTGAAAGGAGCCCATTTGCATGAACCATGTCATATGTCCGTGGGTATGTTGGGAAAGGTTCACACCTATATATTTCCAAATAAGTAGAATTACATTTTTGGTCCCTAAGTGTAGATGAGTTTTGCAATTTTGATCCCAAAAATGTAATTGGCTCTAATTCTTATTTTGGCAAATTAGTTAATGATATTAATTAAATATTTACCAGTCATGCAAAATGCCAGCGAATCCCTGATCAAGTATGAGTGGGAGGGTGTTACGAGTCCTAGTGGGGACCACATTCATCACCCAAACCGACTTTCCTGCTTCTAAAAATGCAGCATTTAGACCTCCATAAAGGGCATTCATGTCCATAACATTTCGTATCATATTGTATGGAGGTAATGGATCTTCGTCACCAGGTCTTTTTGGATGATCAGAAAAGATTAAAGGCGTGAGTAAAGACCAATAATTTCTCAAAGCTAACCTTGATGACTCAAAGTCCTCATAAAATTCATACTGCTCGACTTCTGTCAAAATAAATAGTTTCACTGTTAGTCAAATACCAAATATACCCTCAATTTTAACACAAATAAAGGAATCCATGAAAAATAAACAATACTTTCCATGAATTTGAAGTTCAGCTGGGGTTATTTGAAAACTTGAAGACCTGTTTTGAATAGGAACCCATCTTTTGCTTTCAGTCCCTCCTATACAAGATGAAAGTGGCTGATAATATGACTGTATGTCATGTTCTTCTTTACATGGTGGAATCACACCCTGCTTGCTGCAATATAAAACCAAATAAATATAAATATTACTTCAAATTTTCCTTCATCTTTACATGAAATACCAAAACTAGCCTCTCACCCGGATGAGTAGCATTGGGCATCATTAGCTTTCTGCCATATAAAAGTTTCCTCTTGTTGAGCTATAAATGTCCAGCAAATCTTTTGAGTAAATTCTTCAATAGGGCTATCCATGCTTCCCTTTTTTGTACTTAATGAACTTCCATGTAAAACAAAGTAGCCTCCAGGCTTAAGAATCCGATCAACTTCAATAAGAAACATTCCATCTGAAATATAAATATATACATATATCATTAGAATTAGATACCAAGAAAAAACACTCTTTACACAAGATAATTTTAAAAAAGAACTAGCCTTTTTTGTCCCATAGGATACCACATTGTGCACAATGAACCATGTCATATGACAATGAAGGAAATGGGAGTTTTCTTGAAATGAAGTTGCCAATAATTGCTGGAAGACCTCTTTCTAGAGATAACTGAACTTGACTACCAGTCAACTCATATGCAGCCATACAAACAGCCATGAGCTTTAATGATAATAAATGAGCCCCAAAGCTACCAAATCCACATCCAATATCTAGTACATTACGTACCTTTTAATATAAAGAGATCATTTATTAGATACCAAGTGAAATGATATATGATGATAAGAACAATTACTTTATGTTGGTACTTACACCAGCTTGAAGAAATTCAACATCACTAGTTAACCCTATCATTTCTGCAACTTGGTGAGAGTATTCTTTGACTCCATCAAAGATCAAACCATCATCTGAGTGGAAAGAAATTTGGTTTTCTTCAAGTAACATTAACCTAAAAAAAGGAAAAGGTCAATGGGGAGTGAATAATACAAAACTAAATGAACAAACATATGAAATTAATTACCTTTTTGTCATACTCCCAGAAGAAAGAAATTGGTCTTTTGTAATCTTGACATTTGCATTCCATATTACATCTCTGCCAACTGGCCAACTCAGAGGAGTTTTATAGTCTCTTGGAGGGCGAACCAAACAGTAATCTTGGTATTGTGATAGTTCACAATGTCGATCAAATTCTTCACCATCTGTAAACCCTAGTTGAAGATTTGCAGAAACATTATAACAAGGAACATAATGTTCTCTTTCCCTGCCACAAAGGCTAATCTCCTTCAGATTATTATTCCCTGAAGATAAACTTTTTAGCTCCAAATAATCACTTGCTGCTTGTTCCTTTAGTCTTCTGTAGTTTATATAAATGTCTGATTTTATGCTGAAGGTGACAGAGTCAAAGGAGGTGGAAGTAGATGAACGTAGCAAAACAATAAGTGCAAGAACACTAAAAAGACATAGAAGTAGCCAAGTCCATGGTGGTCTAGGGCCAAAAATTAAAGAAAGTTTATGGAATATAGGTCGTCTCATGTTGAATTGGTGTAGCCTGCTTCCAATTATGGTTTAAATACCACTATCATGAAGAAAACAGTGTAATATGCCTATTGTATTCCGAATTTATTTGTCTATTTGAAATCAATCTCTTTGGAATCACGTGATCATGACATCGTGTCACAGAACCGGTGAAATTGCCATAAAAAGGTACGCAATCGATTTAAATGCAGTAGATCAAGTAACCAATCACCCTCAGATTTCCTAAATCCAGATACAAACTCTTTCCAATTCAAGTAACTGCCAGCAGAAATAACTTCAGATCAACCTGAAATTGTCATCCAAAATGTAAATTACAACTTAAAAACCACATCAACAGACAAAATAGGACAGAGTAATATGTAATTGGTATCACATTCGTCACAAAATCGAGACAGATCTGATGCGTACCAATCACTAGAACTCACGGAATGTAGCAAAGAACTTGCACATCAATCATAAAACAGTTGAACGCAAACTGAAAATAACCACCATATTTACTAGGGTTTGGGGCAAATTACCAGTTCCTTAAGCGAAGAATGCAGTGCAAGCGTAGATTCAACTCATACGAAAGCTGGACAACAGCAACAGCAACAGCTCTAATTCACCATTGACAACAAGAAAGGTGAGTGACAGCGGTTAATTCATTCCCTTTTGCTACTCAGATTATATAGTATTGTGCGAAATGGGATTTAAAAATTAGGAACAGATCGATCCAAATGGCTCAAAGATTAAGAACAAAAAGGGGAATTGGATTAATAATTGTAAAGAATTATAAATAAATAAATAAATATCAATAAATTGTAATGAAAGTGTTTGGGGGAATAATTGTGCATGACTGCCTTTGCACTTTTCCTCCTTCATTGTGTGGTGTCTCATTTGTATGTATTATTTTATTTAGTAAAATGTCAGATTTATCCTCACTAGGCTTTTGTAAGTTGAAATCATAGCTTCATAGGATGGAGGATATTTTGGGGGTTTTTCAGACTTTTCCACTCTCCTATCATTCACCATAAATAGTATTAATAAATTGAATTTTATATTCTTATTTATATATGTTATATAAACAAAAAGATTGGCCTACCATACTAAACAAATACACGATAACTTTATGATTTTATCAATTAATAAAATATGTGTTTTTATTATTTAATACGGGAAATTCTATTATTTATATTATTTTATGTAAAATTTGAATAAAATGATAAGTTATCACATTAAACAGTAAAAGAAAACATGCCCATATATAATAAAATTATCTTGAAAGTTTTTACGGTCAGCCCATAAAATTTAACATTATACCAATTTTTATGATCATTTGAGATGGTAAGAAACAAATTTAAGTGTAGAAAATCATTTAAATATGTTTTAATTCGCTAACAACATTGATTTACCTTTTTATTAATATTTTTCTAAGTGAATTATAGAATATAAATTATCTAATATTGATACATACATCTGTTTATATTGTATTCATTAATAGTTTCACCATCGTTCGACATTAAATTTATCACCTACTTTTTTTTATGTTGTGAATGTCACTATATACGTAATTGTTGAAGGTAGCAAAATCTGACACAATACGTTTAGCCGATGCGATTAAGATATTTAAATCCATTTAATTAAATGATTTGATGCGACACTACATAAAAATTAAACGGATAAGATAAGGGTTGTAAAAACGTGGGAAAAAATCTCACGGATAACACATAATTTTAGGGGTGGCACGCCGGAAAATTTACATCACATTGGAAAATTTCCCAAAAAAATTACATTGTGTTGCAAAATTTGAGGGTTGCACCGATCACCCCGGGAAACCCCTATGTCCGACCTGGTTGTGAATTTCAACTCGAATATAACTCGAAAATGACCTGTTTATTTGTATGCAAGTTTTTTGAATTATTAAAATAAACTAGAAATAAAAAGACCCAAAACCATAATAATAATAATAATAATTATAATTATAACAATTGGATTGAGTCGTTTTATAATGTTGTTTTGCAATGTGAAACTAAATAGATTTGGGTAGATCTTGTTAGTCATATGAGAATATATCACTTAATTATTTGTTCTTTGGTATTAATTTATATTTTAGGTGTATACTCAATGTGGGAACTTTTTTAAGTTGTCATGTTTGTCAAGCCAAAAAGTAGTTTATAAGCTAGCTTTTTAAAAAGCTACTTAGACTAGCTTTTTAAAATTTTTTCAAATATACCCATTATTTAATTATAAAAACACATTCTTTTAAATGTCCTTTTATGTCATTTTATATTTTTCAGCTAGCTTTTCAGTCAGTTTTATCAAACGACATTTGTTATCTGCTAGTTTTTCAGCTATCAGCTAACTTTTTATTTAACAGTTAGCTTTTCAGTTATCAGCTAGTTGTTCAACTAACAGCTATCTTTTCAGCAAGTACGCCAAACATGGCCTTAGTATTTTGGCCACAATACGAAACAAATAATATTTGGTAAATATGAGGAAACTTTCATTTTGAATGACATATGTACCAAAGAGTTTCTAGCCCACCGGTATCAGGTGTTGTCATCTCTCCTTGAGGTTGAAGGTTCAAGTCCCTTCAAGGATATAGGTGGATGTAGGAATAGTTTAGGAGTATAGTAGATTTTTCGTTCCAAAAAAAATGACATATGTGTCGATAGTGAAATAGTAATTATATTTACTTTTCGAATTAAATAAAAGAGAAGTTCAATGAGAAGATGGTATAAATACCCTAAAGATGATCAATAATGTTTTTAGAGGTTTTCCTGTGAAGAAGAAAAGAGAATAGAGAAATTAATCATTAATGCTAATCTTGATAAATCAATGTGGTTAATCATTTTGAGTATGGATTTAAATTCTTTGATGAATAGTTATTAGGGAAAATGTCACTGTAGCACAATTAACTTATGCGTTTTGTCCGACTTGACCAATTATGTTTTTTTTTGCGCAATAGGTCATCTAACTGTTACTGTACGTGTCAATTAAGCCATTATCATTAGTTTTTAACCATTTCTCCGTTAACTAGTTTTCTAAATTACACGGATGGCCCCTATGTTTTAAATTTCTTTCGCAGTTGCTCCTTACCAACTATGGTTTAAATTACACGACCAAAAACTGCCACATTTTAGAAACTCAGGGGACCAAAGTGTAAAATTCTTATCTTCTTCCCCAAAACTGGTGAATTCCATTTTATCATCGTTTATCAACCAGATTGAATGGAATGAAATGAATATCATCGATCCTTACGCGTGCTTCCTTAGCATCTCCAAGCATATTTACAATACAAGCATCGATTGCATCTTGATTCTCGACTCTTGAAGCTCTTGCACCCTTTAGAATCATTGTATCCTTATCACAATCCTTTTCAAAGATCTCAACTAGGGTCTTGTCGACTGCAAGTTTATTCAAAGTGAGAGTTCTGATTTTATCACTATAGAGAACATCCATCCCCGCCATTTCTTCAATGGCAGTCATTCTCTTGGTGATAGCGCCTTGCTCCGATGACTTGTGCGATCTGATGGCCATGGGGACTGAAAAAACAATTGGCATCACAAGTAGGGTTCCACTAATGAGAAGGACCAACAAGTTGTCGGTTCCATTTCTCTAAGTTTGTTTCTGGATTGGGCACATCACCACTTTTTCGATTATGAGCTCAATCGCAATTAAGCAGATGCATAAGTTACCAATGGCGGTCAAAACCTAATAATCGATCCCAAAAAAGTGTTAAAGAAAACATATGTTGATTGAGAAAACAGATATTTCAATCAAAATTAGGGTTTAAAAGATTTACCTTTTAGAACTTCGATAATTTAATCCTAGAAATATTTTGGATGGATAACAAATATAGAATTGTAAGTTACAATCATGAAGAACGTTGTTCACATCTGTTTGAAAAATCTAAAGCATAATTCGGAATAAATCTGGATAATTCTCAATCATGAAAAATAAATCGGGTGAATCTTCAAAGGAACAAGTTAAATATATATTTCAGATCTGAATTCGGATTTCAATTTAAACATGATGTGAATTGAATTGACATATCATAATAAATCGGGGGAATCTTCAAAGCACCAGTTTTGGGGAAGAAGATAAGAATTTTACACCTTGGTCCCCAGAGTTTCTAAAATGTGGCAGTTTTGGTCATGTAATTTAAACCATAGCTGGTAAGGAGCAACTGCGAAAGAAATATAAAACATATGGGCCATTCGTGTAATTTAGAAAACTGGTTTACGGAGAAATGGTTAAAAACTAACGATAATGGCTTAATTGACATGTATAGTAACATTTAGATGACCTATTGTGCAAAAAAAACATAATTGGTCAAGTCGGACAAAACGCATAAGTTAATTGTGCTACAGTGACATTTTCTCTAGTTATTATGAAATAAATGGGTAAGATTTGGTTGTTTTGTCCATGACTAATGCTACATGGTACCAAAATATTTGTCTTTTATGTGGGCAACATTTATTATAACTAATGGTTAAAAATAATTGATGAATATACAAATATACAAATGACGGGGTTAAAATTATTCTCATGAGAGTAAGAACTCAAATGTCATAATGGATATTAAATTTGTCACACAATCAGCGACGAAAAAGAATATGTGAGTGCACATTGGGGGCGTGATTATAAATTTTCTAATGGCTTTATAAAAATTGTTAATTCTCTTAATATATCTTTTTTGATATCAAATTTCAAATGAAAATACAATACTTATAAGAGAATGATGTGAAATCAATCCATGGAAGAAAGAAAACTAAATCAGTGATATCTCTCTCACATATCGTAATCTAAATATATCTTTTATTTTAAAACCAAATCTCAACATTCACCCTCAAGTTGGTGCATATGTATCACACATGCCCAACTTTCTAAAAAGATTGGAAAAAACTTTATTTGAGGAGGCTTTACTCAGGATGTCAGCAAGCTGGTCTTCTAATCGAATTTTTGGTAATGCCAATGTCTTATTCTCTAACTTTTATTTAATGAAGAATCTGTCC